GGGGAAGAAGTGGCGCGCGCGAAGGTGTAGAGCATGGCGGGAAAGAGAGAAGAAGAAACTGATGATGAAAAGAAGAAGAAGAAAAAGAAAAAGAAAAGAAACGAGGAAGAAAAAAATAAGAAGGAGAAAAAAAAAAATAAAAAAAAAATTGTCGTTGATTACTTATCTGCGTGACGGGAACGACGGCGATGACAAGGACGGCGTGGCGCAGCGACCAGGACGATGGGCACGGTGATGATGACGTGGCACGACGGCGGCGATCCCGTCGATGACGATGATGACGGGGCACAATGATGACGATGATGACGTGGCACGGCAACGACGACCTCGACGATGATGTTGATGATGGTCGGTGACGACGTCGAAGTAGGGTGGGTCGGGCGGGTTCGAACCGCTCCGATACGAGTGTAACGAGCGTGAGGCTGAGGGTGAGCCGAGGGAGAGTAGAGAGAGGGGGAGAGTGAGAGCACACACACACACTCACTCACTCGACACGACGGACTCGGACTGGGGATCGGACGCAGACACAGTGGCAAGGCACMAAGTCGAAGTCTTGGATTCCCGAATGCCGAAAACAGCAAGTCACACTGAGTACGAGTACAGCAGCAGAGAACTGGTAYGAGAMTGGTCCCCGTACCGTACGGGGAGCCGGTATAAGTACCGGTGACACGTACGGTASTAGGGGCATTTTTGCAAAGGCCCCGAGGGCAGAACTGAAAAATGCAGTATTTGAAAGTGGCGCCCGAATTGCAGCATGGCGCCAGTTGTCCAAAATCCTACGGTACCAAAGGAGGGGTTTGGAAAAAGGGTGCCAGGCCGAAAACGGGATGCAGCTGAAACAGCAAAAGATAGACCAGGGATCGAGCCCTGGCGGAGTCCGTAACATGTGAGGTAAGAATGTGGATGTACCCCCCTCGTGTAACTTGTGCAGCACGCACCGCAAATGGGCCAATTCTCTGCAAAGGGGGTCCGGTCGTATTTCAAGGACTGCAAGATTTCGGATCCTACACAACCATAAGAACTAAGAAGGCGGTCATAGCGGGGTGCCTGAGCAGGTTTTGGGACCACACACTGGAACGAACAGAAGCAGGACCTGCACTGTTGGGCCTAAAAACCGAGTTAAGGATGAGGGATTTCCCGGCATGGGTACAAACACTATGTTACTGGGATGAATAACCCGAGACCGGGACACATGGCAAAAAACGAACTAGCGCGAAACAGGGTGACGCACGGCGAAGGGAAACGTGTTCACGAAAGGCGGGGAACTGGTGGTACGAAATCAGATCCGTGTGCTGGGTACAGCGCGGGACGTTCAGAGTTCCGCATTTAAGATTTTTTTTCGATTTTTTCGGATGCATGATCCGGGACCAGGACACGTGGAAGAAACTGAACTGCGTTACGGGAAGCATTGAAAGCAAAAGATTCAAAAAGAGCGTTTTTTTGTTTTTTGTGTTTTCGTTTTTTATTTTTTCGTTTTGTCGCGCCTAAACGGTACTAGAAGCAAGGAAACCGGCGCTATCATAGCGCGGGACCCCCTGAGGGTTCAGAATTTTTTTCGAACGACGAAGTAGGAAGAGCAGAAGTACTTGTACGGTAGATCAGAGAGAAGAAACTACCTTTCGGACTGCCCTTGATGACGCCGGGCTGGCGCCGGTAGAAACTAGCTGGGCAAGTACGCCAGGCTGGGAGGAGTGGGACGCCGTGATTCTCATCACGGTCTTTAGGCTTTACGGCGCATCACCATGATGCTTTGTATGATTAGACCGTTTTTTCAGAGCTTCAGGCTATGCTGTGAGTGCAGCAACTTTTCATAAGGAACGAAGGGTTTTACTTCATCTCTATCTATGTGGGAACGTGTGTCCATGGAACCTAGTGTGAGTATGTATGAGCATGTGAAGCCCGGATGTCTGTGAATCGTTAATGGTGATGCTGGAACTTGTGAATGCTTCTCACCTCATCTGACTGTCACGCTAAGTGGGACGTGAGTCTCGAGTTCTCGAACCTCCTTGCTTACAACTCCTGACGGCTCCTAAGAAGGTTTGGACATAGTAACGCTCATTTTCTTATTCTAAAAAGGTTTGGAGGGCATGCCCCTCCAAGGTTTAAAGACTAGCTATATTCCCACTGTGATTGCCCCTGCCCAATTAGGAAGATTGGCATCCCGAAGTGGTAGATAATAGGAAGTTTGTCGCTAGCCATCAGCTAGACTATTGTCTTCAGCTGCCTTCCCCCATAGGAGGAAGCACCGGCTACATATGTTATGTCGCCCCGACACACTTATGCTTTTTGTGTTGGCTAAGCTAGATACTACAAATCGCCTTAGTCGTTGCGCACGGTCCCAATGTGCAATTTTATCACACAAATGTGGCTAGTGTAGTCTTATGCAGTGCTGATGTCTGTGAGAGCCACACGGGCACCTACGTTGACATCTACCAGATTCTTAGGACCTCTAATTGTGGTCACTAGGGCAGCTAGCATGTCTCACCATCTAGCTCTAAGGACTCAGACACATCCCGTGAACAGAGCTTCATGTGGTCCAGATGTGCCTACGGGGTGACTAAGGAGTCGGTAACCTTGGCCGTCTTTTGAGATGGTAAGGGATTCCACCACCTCAACAAGAGCAAAAGCGGCTGCTACATCTACAGGCCGGATGTGCTTCCCAAGGAAGTGCTCGCAATGCTTTCCTGGGTTGAGGGTGCCTCACCCCTCTTCAGGCTGCATCGCCGTGGTGACCAACTGGACCGGACCCCTCGCCTTGGTTTGGCCATTCATGCCATACACTTTGCTGGTGCACCTTACACAACGGTCTATCCACACATCCCTGACAAGATTCTCTCTCATCCTTATGGACAAAGTAGGATCTTCCCCTTGACTCCTATAGATTGGATGCTTCCCTGCATGCCAATCACCTCGGCCTAACTACAAACGGCCAACACTCCTACCTCTGGTTTCATGGCCGCCTACTTGCTCTGTTTATACCCCAAGATCGTCCTTCCGTCGATCCTGGGGTGGCTTCTTCTTCCTCCTATCATCCAAGCCCTCATTCGCGTTACTTGGCTCGGCCTCGTAGTCCAAGCCTTACCTATTTAAGAGAAGAAGACTCGTTTGTAGCAAGGCAATGGAGAAACTCCAAAAGTTCCATCAGAACACTTTGCCAAGCGTGGACTGGATCACCGAGCACCAATGCTTGGCATCCAAGCCCGACTTGCCACTCATCTTTTTGAGCATCAAGCACTTCTTCATCACGAGGTCGTGACCGACGTTGCAAAATGCATTGACGCAAGTCGCGGAGACTGTCACCACAAGTGAGCTATTATTTGATAAGGCCTCGCAGATTATTCTGACGAATATGGAAGCCAAGAACGTCGTCCGTTCGTCTTCAGCAAGCCAGGGGAGAGATCAACATCGGCCGGAAGTGGTTGTGGTAGCGGTAGCAACGCTGACCGACCCTTCTAACGAGGCTGTTTGTTCTGACGAGGGAGACAAATTCGCAACCGCCCGGGATGGTGGTCGCCCCGCCAAAGGTCGAGGAGGCGGCAAACCGAGACTAACATCTCTTCAAACCCCGGGCCCGACGCAACAGCTGAAGAACTTTGGACACACTTCAATCTCTCTGAAGGCGTGGACAAGATACGCGCATACCGATATTGCTCGTGGTGCAACAACAACTTCCACGAAATGGTCGACTGTCCCACAAGGGGCAAGGGGAAGTCCCATTCCGGAAAGTGAGCACTGCAGAGAGATGCGACGACACTCTCGACGCCTTCGGAACCGGTTGCTGCGCGAGCGACCTTCCTTAGTTTCAAGGCACATGTGGAAGTCGTAAGTCCTCCCATTCTTTATTCTTACGAAGACTATGCTGCCCGACCCGTTCCTTCGTTGGGTTCTCAAGCTCAAGGACAAGATGTGTGTGCAGTTTTTTCTCCGTCAGGAAGCGGTGACAATTCACCATCTTCAAGTGGTTCTTCGAGGGATTCGGCGCGCAAATTCAACATAAAGGTCTTGGACTCGTCGACGTCCGAGGATTTCACATGGCTTCCTCTCCCTTCCATAGGCTGCTTACCGGAACTGCAATGCGCAGCACTATGCTTCCATTTCCACACATACTTAGCCTTCTATGCACCACCAACTTCGCCGACAGATGACGAAGTTGCGGTGGGGGACCTCCTTGCGTATGTTACCAAGGTGGCCCATGAGTTTCGCATGCAGTGGTACGATGACAACAACGCACCGCTCCTTTACGTCCGCAACCAAGTTGGGCAAGCGTCCTGCAGCGCTTTGCTGGATCGCGGCGCGACTCGCAACTTCATGAACCAGTCCTTTATTCAAAGGGCCGGCCTTGGCACACAAGTTCGAAGGAAGTCGTATCCTATGGCGGTAACGATGGCGGACGGTAGGACGCAACAACTTCTTGATCGCTACATCGCATCCGTGCCGGTCTATTTCGCACCTCATGCATGCGAACCGGTGATGTTTGACGTCTTCGACACAAACTTCGGCATCATTTTGGGGATGCTTTGGCTTGCAAGTGTGGATCACAGGGTCAACTTCCATCGGCGGACACTTACCGTTCGTGACGCCTTTGGCGCTGAGGTGCCATGTATTATCCCTCTTCCGCACCCTTCAATCCGGTGCCAAGTGGTAACGGCCAAGTCTTTTCGGGCCACTTGTGCTTACGAGCGGACCGACGATATCGGCCTATGCTTTCTTCAAATCGTCGCGTCAACAGAATCTTCACCCATGAATTTGTTTTCGGACACCCGCATGGTGCGGTTGCTTGACGAGATGCCGACATCTTCGAGTCTCCTAACGGCGGATCGACTGATCTCCCATGAGATCATTCTTAACGTCGGTGTCGTGCGGTCGAAAGGATGCATCTATCGCATGAGCGAGGAAGAGCTCGTGGTTCTCCACGCGCAACTTGATGACTTGTTGGAGAAGGGTTGGATCCGCCCTAGTAGCTCACTATATGGTGTGCCAGTTCTCTTTGTACGGAAGAAGAACAAGGATCTTCACTTGCGCATCCACTATCGCAAACCCAATGTGCAAACCATCAAGAATGTCGGGCCTCTTCCTCGTATTGACGATCTTCTCGAGCGTTTGGGTGGCGCGAAGTGTTTCTCGACGTTGGATTTGAAGTCGGCCTATCATCAGATTTCGGTACGCCCACAAGATCACTACAAATCCACGTTCAAGATGCGGTACAAACATTTTGAGTGGGTTGTCATGCCTTTTGACCTCACCAGTAACCCGACGACTTTTCAAGCGGTGATGTCGAACGAGTTCTGCTTAATGTTGGACCGGTTTGTGCTGGTCTACTTGGGCGACATTCTCGTCTACAGCCGGACCTTGGAGGACCATCTCGAGCACCTTCGACACGTGTTGGAGACGCTCCGTTGCGCCAAGTACAAAGCCAACCGCGATAAGTGCGAATTCGTACGGCAAGAATTGGAGTACTTGGGCCATTTTGTCACACCGGAGGGCATTAGTCCGTTATCGGACAAAATTCAAGCCATCCAAGAGTGGTCGGAGCCGCCGAACGTCATGGATGTCTCTTCGTTTCTTTGCCTTGCCGGCTACTATCAACGCTTTATAAAAAGCTATTCAAAGATTGCAGACAACTTGACCAAGCTTCAATGCGAGGATCGACTGTTCGACTTTGGTGACGATGCGCGGGCTTCCTTTTTGGCCCTCAAATCCGCGGAGGTTTTGTGTATCTACGACCCGCTTTTGCCGATGGGCGTCGCTACCGATGCGTCCGACTATGGCATTGGTGCCGTCCTCGAGGAACATGATGGTGTGGATTGGCACCCGGTCGATTACTTCAGCAAGAAAGTGCCCACCGTTTACTCGATTGACGACGCACGAAAGGAGTTATTGGCCTATGTACACGCGCTTGAGCACTGGCGGCATTTTCTTCTAGGTCGACGTCAATTTTGATGGGTAACGGACAACAATCCGTTGGTCTTTTACAAGACCCAAGAGACTCTAACCATTTTGCGAATGCTCTTTCACGACGTCCAGCCCATTGTACCGCGGTCTGCTCAACTTTCGAGATTGATGACGGCTTGTGGGACAGCTTCATCTGTGGTTACCAAGCCGACCCCGAGTTTTGCAACAAATACAGGAATTGTCCCTCTCCAAATCTGACACCATCGCACTATCGGATCCAAGAGGGTTATTTGCTCATCCACGTGAGGGAAGGATCTTCTTTGCGTGCCAAGTGATCCACACTTCCATACGCGGCTTCTTGACGAGTTCCACGACGCTCCCGCTACCAGACATTTTGGAGTCAATCGTGCGATTGGTCGACTTCACGAGCGCTTTTGGTGGCCCGGCCTTCTCAGCAAAGTCACACGTTTGCCGACGTTGCAAATCTCGCAATCATCGTTCGTATGACGATTTGCAACCATTACCGGTCCCCTTGCGATGAACAGAAGCAATTGCCATGGACATCACTGGGTCGTTCCCCAAGCACAAGATCGGTGTGGATGGGATTCTTACGATGGTCGATCAACTCACCAAGTTTGCCATGTTTTTCTCTTTCCGCTATCATGCCAAGGCACGAGAGTTGGTCGAGGTTCTTTACAGTGGTTGGATTCGAACCAAGGGTTACCCCAAGGAGATCGTTTGCGACCGCGACACTCGGTTCATGTCCGATTTATGGTTGGCGCTCGTCAAACGATGGGGCTAATTTCTCAAGCCGAGTTCGGCTCGTCACCCCCAAACCGATGGCTAAACGGAGAGGGCATTAAACTCCACAGGTTCTTCTTCGCACTCTCATCCGTCGGGACCAAGAGGACTGGTTTGAGCGGTTGCCGGATGTCTAGTTGGCATACAACTCGTCCATTCATTCGGCTATTGGGATGTTGCCCTTTGAGTTCGAGCATGGCTCACCGGTCACTTCTCCGTTGGACACGATCATCCCACAGGCGGCCGAGAGCAACAACCACCTTCTCTTCATTCGCCGGATGCAAGAGCTTCTTGTCAAGGCACGCGACCAGATGTCGAAGACAACAACGTATAAGCCAACATGCCAATCGCCAGCGTCTTCCTTGTCCATTCCGCGTCGGCGACCTCGTGTGGGTATCCGTTACGAAATGCAGCCGCGAACAAGATATTGTCGCAAGCTCCGTCTGAAATGGATGGGGCCTTGGCCCTTTGTGGCACCCGTTGGGGATGCACCCGAAGGACCTTTATTTCTCATTCAGGTGCCGGCCCACTTGCCTGTCTACCCGATGTTTCATTGTTCTAAGTTAGCTCTGTTCGTTCCAGCGGAACATGACGACTGTCCCTGGCGACGATTGCAAGACCCACCGTCCATGGACGGTTTTTAGGAGGTTGGCGACATTATCTCCCAGCGACGCTACGATAACAAGCCGACAGAGTACTTGGAACATTTTTCCTATTGCAGCCATAAGGCTGACCGTTGCTTGGCCTGTGCGAAACTTCAGGCAACAACCCCCGACGTTCTCACACCTTACGAATGCACGTTACAAGGCAAGCCGGTACCTTCGGCTCCACGCCGTACTGGCGTCCAGGTTCCACCATCGGATCATCAGCTTCGCCCTCGACTCGACTTGACTTCATAAGGAGGGCGGGGGTGCTACGTGCAGAGCCTGCACACGGGAAGTGGGGCCCGACGGTTGCTGAGGGGCTCCCAGGCTATATGCCCTTCGGACGCGCACCTTGGAGGCCCATGGCGGCCCTCAGGCCGCAGGTTTTGATTCCAGGGAACATTTATTTATTTATTTATTTGTTGGTTGTCCTATCTTTGTTCGTTCAGACGTCGTTTCAGACTTGTAGTCCCCAAGGCCGCGCCTTGGGCTGGGCACACCATGAGGCAAGGTCGTTCGAGGCCAGGTTCGGGTTTGCGCCCTGCTGCATCAGCAGGTTGGTTTGGATGCCCGGTAGGAACCCTAACCGTGTGGGCTGTTTTCAGGCCAAAGAGAGGGCGCACTGGCGAGGCCCAACGCTATACATAGCTGGCCCAGGCCAGGGCTCACACACAGTTCGAGTAACTCACTTCTTGAGCGACATGCTGTTGGAGCAACGTTGCAACACTTGGCCCTCCGCTAGAGTAGAGGTAGAGGCGTAGGTAGGCCATACCTGCACCGGCGACACTTGGCGCCGTAGTTGGGGTTCCACGCCGGTGACCTGCACCTGACGACGACGACGACGGTCAGTACATGGCAGCGGATACCTGCAGGTGAGATGGAGAGGAGGAC